GTGTGTTGGTGTAGACGAGAGGTTGCTGCTCTGGCTAATCCTCCAATGATGCTCTTTTTAGTATGTGAAAAGCAGCATCATGGTCCACCCTCTATTTAGTTTTCACTACAGTATTTAGAAATCGTCACAAGAATTGACAAGAGCTTCCCACCTTAAATATTTATTGTGGATAAAATTTATTAGTGTGCTAAAACAAAAGTGTAAATATTTTGATAAAAAAATACAGTCAGTCTCAAAAAAAAAAAAATACAGCCTCAATGGACATTCCTAAAATGCATTCATGAATTACAAAGGGGAAAAGAGAAGAGAAACATGGCAGACAGCACCTCACTAAGTGACCAGAGTTAACGCCCCCAATTCCCTAGGAAGGACACAGGCCATTTCTGTGTTTTTGATGCCAAAGTACTAACCAAATCTAGTCACGATGCATCAGATGAACCACAGTAAGCACATCCCACAAAATAAATGTTTGGTCAATATCATGAAAAAATAAAATAAAGAAAGGCTGAGGTATTGTTCTAGAGTAAAGGGGAAATAGAAATTAAATGTACTACTTGATTCTACATTGGATTACTGCCATGATCATCACCTGAGACTATTTTCACGGGTAGATGAGCTGGATGGAAAGACCTGGTGCCAACTAGTGAAGGGTGTCCTGGGTAGAGCCCAGTCCAGAGCCAAGACGTTCTGGATGGATACATGAGAAGAAACTATAAAGTGGCAACTAATTCATTCATGATACCACCCCATCCAAGCTGCTCCATTAACTTTCATCTGGATTGCTATCTACAGTGATAAACAGATTCCATATTTAATCATCTGGATTTCATCTAAAGGCTTCTCAGACCAGCACAGACCTGGCCTAAGAGGTCTGTGAAGCCTGGCGCCCTCTTGAACCTTCCCCAGCAACCCTTAGCTGGATAGGCACTCTCTATGCTGGCCTTCCTTCTGGTACAACTAAAGTTTCACAGAATTAAATTGAAATTCAAATGGAGAGCAAATGGGAGAGCGAAAGAACAAAAGAGAAATCTGACACCGAAGGACTTTCAAGGATTTGATCTCAAAAAGTACTAGATTTAGTAAATTAGTGCTATGTTTACCATAAAAAATTCTTGGTTTAGCTCTGCTGTTATGATTTTTACAATATATATTTTTTAAGTAAAAGTTAATTTTCTCCAAATGTAGCAAGTAATATGAATATATGTCAGAGATTTGTCTTAGGATCATCAAAATGTCAATCCAAGAGCTATTTAATAATATAAGTGAAATGAATATTTCAGAGCACCAGGTAATAAATGTTACTGAAAATGTATGCATATCCAATAAAAATAGCACTTCAGAAGCAAAGTTATATATTTATATATTAATTTCCTCATTTATATAAGTACTAGAGGCCTGGTGCACAAAAATTTGTGCACTCGGGGGGGGGGGGTCCCTCAGCCCGGCCTATGCCCTCTTGCAGTCTGGGATCCCTCAGAGGATGTCCACTTGCTGGCTTAGGCCCACTCCCTGGGGGATCGGGCCCAAGCTGACAGTCAGACATCCCTCTGGCAGCCTGGCAGCCCTCCGGGGATGTCCACTTACCAGCGGGGAGCAGACCTAAGCTACCTAAGCTGCAGTCGGACATCCTTAGCGCTGCTGAGGAGGCAGGAGAGGCTCCTGCCACCACCGCTGTGCTGGCAGCCATCAGCCTGGCTTGTGGCTGAGCAGAGCTCCCCATGTGGGAGCACACTGACCACCAGGGGACAGCTCCTGCATTGAGCATCTGCCCCCTGGTGGTCAGTATGTGTCATAGTGACCAGTCATTCCCAGTTGTTCTGCTGTTAGGGTCAATTTGCATATTACCCTTTTATTATATAGGATAGAGGCCTGGTGCACAGGTGGGGGCCGGCTGGTTTGCCCTGAAGGGTGTCCTGGATCAGGGTGGGGGTCCTGCTGGGGTGCCTGGCCAGCCTGGTTGAAGAGCTGATGGGTGTTTGCAGGCTGGTCACACTCCCTTCAGGGTGGGGGTCCCCATTGGGGTGCCTGGCCAGCCTGGGTGAGGGGCTGATGGCTGTTTGCAGGCTGGCCACACCCTCTTCAGGGTGGGGGTCCCCACTGGGGTGCCTGGCCAGCCTGGGTGAGGGGCTGATGGCTATTTTCAGGCTGACCACACCCCCTTTAGGGTGGGGGTTCCCCACTGGGGTGCCTGGCCAGTCTGGGTGAGAGGCTGAGGGCCGTTTTCAGGCTGGCCAAGCCCCCCGGCGACAGAAGCTCCCAGCCTCTCCTTTTTTTCTTTCTTTTTTTTAAATTCTGGGATTTATTTACCTTCTATAATTGAAACTTTGTATCTGAGTGGAGCTCAGAGCCGGCCAGGGTGGGCGGGAAGCTTGGCTTCCTCCATCGCCAGGGGCAACCCAAGCCTCCTGCTCGCTCCAGCTCCGTGGCCACAGCCAGCTGAAAGCAGGTATCTGGGGTTTATTTATCTTCTATAATTGAAACTTTGTTGCCTTGAGTGGAGCTCAGAGCCAGCCACAGCAGGTGGGAAGCTTGGCTTCCTCCATCGCCTGGGCAACCAAGCCTCCTGCTTGTTACAGCTCCGTGGCTGCCGGCCACCATCTTGGTTGGGTTAATTTGCAAATAGTTGCTCTGATTGGCTGGTGGGCGTGGCTTAGGGTGTAGCGAAGGTAAGGTCAATTAGCATCTCTGTCTTTTATTAGTGTAGATAGGCTCTTTTATCAACATAATCTCATTTGAAAAGGACAGAGACACAGATGACAACAGAATGTTAGGCTTAAAAACTACCAAAAAAATATTACCTCTGAAAGACCATTATAATTACACTAGAGGCCTGATGCACGAAATTCGTGCAAGGGGCTTGGCCCTCGCAGCCCTATCTTCTTCAGGAAGGTCGTTCGGCTGTCTGGTCTAATTAGCATATTACACTTTTATTATTATAGATTTGCATCTTCAGGTTCCCAATTCTCTTTTATTAATTTTGATTCTGATAACCATTTTTAAGTAGCCTTAACATATCTATATGAAAATACATGTGTGCAAAGGAAATGGTTTCTCAAGTTTATTTTTTAAAATTAATAATATGATTTAACTTAATCAACATGTTCACAAATTAGGTGCTTTGGATTCCATAGAAATCCACTTGAGAGTTACTGTTTCTGAATTTCAGATTAAATATGGAATATGTTTATCATGTGTGAGTTTGTCATGAACAAGAAAGAAAATGTGTGACTGATTAATACACCTTAGTTCTAATTTCTCATTATATGCCAAGAATAACTTTTTCCTACATCAGAACCATATATAAGATGTTTTATGATTACTTTTAGGTGAACACGACAGGGCAAAATTGAGAACATAAATATGTGTTTATAAATGTGTAAATCTGAAGCTGAATGGGCATGCCACTCCTGATTTCAGCTAGGACCTTGTGGTTTGGGGTGACGTGATTACGCATTACATAAAATGTCACAGGGTGCTGGAGGACATCCCACAGCTCTAGCTGGCTGAAGCATTGCTTTGGCGCTACCTATCCTCCTGACCCCCACATCATCCCCTTTATTCCCCCTCCAAGCCATCCAATCAATTAAAGACACAGTTCAGTGAAAAACAGTGGGCTCTGCTGTGCCAGATACCTTATCTCTTTTTCTAGCCATTTTGCTACCCCTGAATCCTTTTTAAAAATTCTAGAGATCTCACTGGCTACATTGGAATGCTTATCAGAAACAATAATCCCATTATAGGATGCAAATAAAAGCTAAAAAAAAGTAATTCTTATTTGCCATCCCAATCCAGAGCCCACAGGACAACAGTGTTGTGCTGAAGAGAAGGGCAGGGCTGAGCAGGTGCACGCTGCCCGAACTTCAGTAAGAGCAGGGCAGGACCTACCTATTGTACCTGCTGGTTTCTGCAACAGCTTCCCTTGGAAGAGAGGATTCTGAGAATGAAAAATGTCTCAAGACCACCATGCCAGGCAGTAAAAACTTTGAAATACTGCTATTGATGGATACACATACACAGCACAAACATATGCTTTTTTTTAGCACAACTGTAACAAAAATGATTTTCTGAGAAATTTAAATATATTTTTCTATGAAACATGCTTGATCTACTTGCCAAACAATATTATAAAGAAATGTTTATTCCAAAACAAGAGAAAACTAATATTCATATCATCCTTTTAAAGCAATACTACCATCCAAGTGATTAGGAAAGCAGTCCTAAATCTGCAGATGTAAAATGAACTACATTTTCCTATCATGTAGTAAACGTTCAGAAGTAATCCACGTTATTATTTACAGCATGCATTCTCTTCTCATTTGATCTGAAGGACACATCTCTTAAAAGTAAACTGAATTCTGTTCTAATTTTCCCTCAGAGGCAATCACATATCAGAGAGTACTTCTCTCTACTTGTGGAATTTCTACTTACTTATTCTCTTGGAAACTGTTAATTTAGAAATACAGATAAGAAAAAGTTCTATAGGTTTTTCTTAAAGGTATGCTGTCTTCCTGGTTATCAATCTCACCAATACATTCATAAAAGCATTTTTTATAATTGTATTGTTTTTAATATTTTTAACCAATGTTAATATTTTGATACAGAGGAAAACATTTCTTTTAAGCAGAGCTAGATTTTTGAAGTTAACCATGAATTAATGTTAATATTGATTCTCAGTAAGCCATTTCATTAAAAATGGTTCTGCCCTGGCCGGTGCGGCTCCATTGATTGGAGCCTCATCCTATACACCAAAAGGCTGTGGGTTCGATTCCTGGTCACGGCACATACCTAGGTTGAAGGCTTGCTCCCCCGTCGGGGCTCGTAAGGGAGGTAACCAGTTGATGTTTCTCTCTCACATCGATGTTTTTTGTCTCTCTCTCCCCCTGTCTCCCTGTCTCTGTTTCTCTCTAAAAATCAGTAAACATATCTTCAGGTGAGGTAAAAAAAAAAAAAAAAGGTTCCATCTTGCATCACTTAAATTATTTCAGGAAGGATTTACATACCTGGGAATATTCAAAGTCAGTGATAGGGGCTATACTCTTGATGTAGTCTGATCGAAATTGATTTTCTGGGTTGGCCAGTGGAACTGGAGGTATTATAGTACTCATCGCCGAAATAATTGTCTAAAACGAAATAAAGAACAATATATTTGTGGATGAATGTAACACAGGCTCCATGTATGATAAGCTAATGTATAATTTCTGTCTACTTAGTTGTAGAGAGCAGAGTACTTAACTTTTCTAGCAAACAACCATTAAGTAAAAGTCCTTACCACGATAGCATCTTTAACATTTTTCCGGATGTCCAGGATTTTCTGCTTCTTTTCCCTGTATTAAAAGAGAATTGTTATTAATTTAATTTGTCATCAGCACTGATTTGATTGAATTGGGTGGAACTTTAAATTTCCAGCTGCAGCCCCTGGCTAGACTGGTTTTCCTAGAGGTCAACACCAACCCCAAGAACAACAGTTTTTATCGGCAAAGTTTTTATCTGGGAAAGGAAAACATGCCCCTTTTCTAGTTTGTACTCTAAACAAACTTGGATGCACACAATACAATCTATAGCTTTACACAACCACACATGTCGCACAAAACATGGCAAGCTTGTCATGAACACTGCATATAAAAACTATACAGCTACACCTGCAAATATATTTGATTTGAATCTATCCATGTGTTGATAGGTATGAATTAAAATAGATGCAGACAAATGATATAGAGAAAAGTATAGATTGACATGTTGGTTAAGTGTGTTCAGAGCAGTACCAAGAATGCAGATCAATACCTCAAGAATGCTTAATAAATCATATTTTGTTAAGCAAGTTATTTTTTTTACCTAGAGAAAGGATTTACCTAAATATACCAAATTCAACAATACACTCTTACACTGAGTGGCCAGATTATTATGATCACCCCATCAGTACTTCATTGACACTTCCAAAAATACCGAATATTGAAAACTTCCTAAGCAAATACTCCCAAGGTTTTATTATTATTATTATTATTATTTGCATAACTAATTTACTTCATTGTACTGATGGGGTGGTCATAATAATCTGGCCACTCAGTGTGTATATTTTTCTCCCTAAAAGGTGTATTCGAAGCAAAACCGAAATTGATCATTTCTTACTCGGGATTAAATCCATTGACGTGCAGGATCCTCATTTGTTTGACGATAGTGCTTTTCCCAGACTCACCAGCCCCTGCAAAACAAACAGAAAGAATGCTGAGATCTGTAGCCGGATGCCCTTGCCATCGTTCACACCAACCCACACTGAGCAATTATCCTCTCCAAGGCAGGCATTTTCAAGTCCAGGCCAGCGCTGGGCTGGCCGAGCCGGCCGGTCGCGGGCTGTGCGCTCCGGGCCTGGCCGCCGCCGCCCCTCCCGCCTTACCCAGTAGAAGCAGGCGGTGGGTCGCTTTGTAAGCCAGGCGCTCCTTCTGCAACTGCTTCTCGATCTTTTTGTTGGCCTCGCGCCTTTCCTTTTCATCGACGCCCTGGTCTTCTGTTGTCTTGCTGTTGCCCAAACAGCCCATGCCTGCCCGCTCGACTGGACGTCAGGCACGGTTAGGAATTTGCCCCCAAAGCAATTAGGGAGCAGTGGATGTGCGTGGATTTTGCGGTGGCCTCTCTTCCCAGCTGCTGAAAGAGATGGCCCGGTCTCTCGGTGTGTCCGGATCGGAACCGGCGGTCTGCTCCCTCCCCGCTGCCCACCGCAAACTCCTAACCAGAAAGGATGCAGGGAAGACGCACGGAGTCCGACGCCTGTGGGGATGGTTTCGTTTTGGACGCGTGGCAGTGAACGGGTTAAAGATAACTATCCAGGACGATCTGCTGGGTAAACGGCACACAGGGAACGGAGAAAGGGGCACGGACCGCCGGGCTCCGCGGGAGCAGCCGGGTGGCTCGCCCAGGTTCCCTCGCCCAGCTCCGCTGAGCTCAGCCTCCGGACGGGACCCCCGAGGGCCGTGTGCTCAGCCCTGCGCACCCGCAGGCTGGTGGCCGCGCGCAGCGGGAGGGACGGAGTGCGCTGCGAGACCCCGCAGGGCGACTGTGCGCACCAACCCGCCACGCCGCCCCTGGGGGCACAGGGACCCGTGCTGCCTCGCGGTTTGAGCTCCTCCGCGCAGGGAAGGGAGGCTGGCCCGCGGGAGGGAAGGGGAGGGGAGGGCGGCAGGTAGGCTGGCCCGGGGTATGGGAGGGACGCTAGCGCTCACGGTGCTGCAGGGGCGGGAGCTGACCTCTCAGGGCCCGGCCGTGGGAGGCTCACCCTCGTGGGGTCCCGACCGCTGCCAGGTGGCTGTCTCGCACCCCGAGCCCAGGAGAGTGGGTGGACGAGCGCGCGCTCCCCTCAGACACTTCAGATGCCGCCTGCTCATAGGCAGGGAGGCCGCGGGATCATGCATATTCTATCAGGGAGGAGGATCTGCGAGGGCTCCCCGGGCACCGCCTTTGTTCCCCGCACTTTCTAGACGATTCCTGCACACCCACGCCGCCCCCCTGCCTCTCGTCCTTAGCCCCAGCCCCCGGCGCTCCTCGGCAGTCCTCTCATAGCTGTACTCCTTTCTAGAGGGCACTCTGGCCTCCAACTTGGCATTGTAGCCAAGGACCAAAGGAGGGCAGGAGGCAGGCTGTGTCCTCATGGACTGTGACGGTGAGATAGGCCCCTCCACTCCTGCTACAGCAGCTCCAGGGGCGCCAGCGCTCTGCACTAGCCTGGCTGCACTGGGGGGAGGAGGAAAAAGAGGTGACTGGGTGCTGTGGAGACCACTGCCCTGTGCGTTGCTGTTGCAAGCTGATGGCCTCCAGGCTCCAGGGGCCGGGGCACTGCACAGGATTCTTTCACTGCCTTCGATAGAGGGGGGTGGGGGTGGGAGTGGGGCACCCTGCCAGGCTGCCCCTGCGCCCAGGGGCATGGCAGTCTTCACCTGTCAATGTGTCCCCTCCCCTCTGAGCTCCCCTCTTTCTTCAAACTCTTTCCTATTGTCTTGTTCCCTTCAAGTGCACAAATACCTTCAACTCTGTCCCATGTAAAACCAACAGCACCTCCTTCATTGCAAGTCGCTGGTTAGTTCCACCACTTTCCTCCTGCCCACCACTGCCAAGAGTTAAAAGGGAATGTGCGGCCCTTGTCCGCCTCACCTGTTCATACCTCAGCCTCTGGCGGCCCACCCCCCTGCACTGGAAATACTCTCACCATGGTCACTCGTGGTGTCCCAGGGGCTAAACATCACCCGTGAACTTTGGTTTTTGAGTTTGTGTTTTAAAGTGTGGAACTCTTCGTGAATTTGCGAGTCATCCCTGCGCTGGGTCCATGCTAATCTTCTCTGTCGTCATGAACTTTGGTCTTGACTTCCTTGGACCTCTCTGTGGGGCTGGCTCTGTCTGTCCTTGAGAAGCTCCTGTCCTCCCGCTCCCACCAGATGGTCTTTTTGATTTCCCGCCTGCCCTGGGGCTGGTGAATCTCCGCTCCTCCACGGGGTGGAGGCACCTTGGACCCACAACAGCCTCTGCCCCCTGGTGGGGCTGACTGCATCCTGCATACTGTGTTCACACAGCTCTATGTCCACATCAGCTCTCCAGCCCAGCTCACACCCTGACTGTCCAACCAGAACCTGGAAGTCATTCCTGACTCATTTTCCTTCTTGTCAGCCCAAGTAGGATCTTGTTGATCTGTGTCCTGAATATCTGTCCTATCCCTTCCACCCCATCTGCCACTGCCATGGTCTTAGGTCCCTAATCTAACCTGGATTTCGGCAGAAGGTGAGAAAAGGTATATAAAAATAGCATAGTGTAGTGGAATGTTTATAAGGACTTGTCAGCTTTTTAAATGCCAAGATTTATATGAATTGTTAGTGGGAAGAGAAGGGGACAAAACAAATCTCATGAAAACTCTTATAGGGAGAATTAAGTTAGAACCCAGAAGCCACACTTTTAAGGCAGCCTGATATTTAGTTTCCCTATAAATATAGAAAAATTTTTTCCACCTGTTAAAAATTAGGAATTAGGGTTAAATGTAACTTTTTATATGTTGAATTTTATATGATTACATGAACAGACCTAATAGAACAGGTCTGCACTATACGACCTACAGTGTGTCCTAAAATATAGCCTGCTAAACACTCTAAAATATAAAAGCAATGTCCTTATACAGTGATACAGCATTTCTTAAAAGCAATGCAAAGTCGACTTTTTCCTAGTCCTATCTTTATCTGGGAAACTGACCCTCATTTGTGTTTCCAACCATGGGATCAGCATTCAAAATTCCAGATGGTTCACCTAGAGCAGGGGGAGCGGAGCTGTAGGTAGAGCACTAAGCGCAGCCAGGAGCTGCTGGCAATGCAAGCATCTGTTGCCAGGCAACGGCTGCAGTAGCAGCAGCAGCAGCAGCAGCAGCACCACCACCACCACCACCACCACCACCACCACCACACACCAGCACCCACCTGCAGAGATGAAGGGCTGCCCTGCAGCAGCCAGGTGCCAGCAGAGGGGCAGAGGTGCTGGTTCAAGGAAATGCTGGGGCTACAAAGTAGGTGAGGGAGGGAGAACTGGGAAGGTACAAAGTTTGGGGCAAAAAAGGGCAAAAGATAAAGTGATGTTTTCCTCACTCTTGTTGATGTTTAAGACAGGTAGGGTGTCCCTGAAATCTCAGTGCATTGGAAAGTTTAATTACTTACATTTCTTTTATATTGCTTAGTTTTGTGAATTTTGAATACTGTAATGATTTTTAAATTTGGTTTTGTTTCAGTCCCTCTGACTGGATAGCATATATATATATAAATTGCACCTGTTCTCTGGTCTGAACTCTAGTCTATGACGGCAATAAAAACAAAATTTGTTTCTCACCATAGAAGTTTAACAAGTGGATTAAATATTCAGAGAGACTGTTTGATTCATGACAGGCCTAGATCTAGGAGATGCTGAGCCGCTTTGAAAAAAGACTAGAGTGCTAGGTAGCACAAGATAGTGGAGAGTTGAATTTAATTTAAAAAAAATCAATACTTAAAAAGTTTAATAGTCCTTCAATAGCATTTTATACTTTAGAGATTGATAAAGGTTAAAACTGCACTAAGACTTTTGGAATAGTACATAAAAATTTTTAAAAGAAGAGGAACAAAATAGTTTAGGAAAGATGAAGCGTCATGAATTCCGTGCAATGGCAATGCTCCAAGAATCCAAAGCTGCAGCCAGTTTGCAGCGAACTTGGCGGCACCAGCTGGGTGACTGCTCCGCACAGGGCCCTCATTCCAGTTTGTGCCATTTTAGACAACTGCTGTTGTCCTATCTCTTTTCTTTCTCAGTATCTTGGTGGAACCAACCTGTGTAGATCAATTTCCATTCTTAACAGCAGAGCCCCCTCCATGACCTAATCACAATACACTTTAAAAGTACTGTGGTTAATTTTTTTCCATTTTTATAGAAAATCGGGGAAACATTTCCCCTTTTGTGCATAATACTCTGCAATCAAATGTCTTACCACTTATTGAAATATTTGTCTCCTTTTCCCCCCTCCTTACTCAGACAGCCAAAGTAATATTAAATAGCTTTTGGAAGTATCCATAAAGGGTAGTAATTCAGTCTTGTTCTTGACAAAAATGACAGCTTTAAAAACTAAAATAGCAGCCAATCATAAGGGAAGGTATGCTGCCTCTGATTCCACCCCGTGTCCCAAAACCCAGGACAGAAATATCCTCTCTGGCACACACAACTCAGTGTCACAGGCAGGAGTTCCTTACAGCATGAAAACAATAGGTGGGAGGCCACTGAATGATAAGACAACAAAACCCCCATGAAACAGAACAGGGAATCCACAAACAGAATGAAGCTCAAAAAAATCTGTGACAGCAACCAAACTGGGTCAGATTATGAGACAGAAATGAAATAATGGGCCCAAGGACCAGAGGAGTGAAAATTAGCATTTAACCTGTGAAGGTGAGCATCTCTATTTGTTTAATTCGGTTCTTTAACCTCAAATAGCCTAACAAAATATTGGACTACAGCAGAGATTCAAACACGTTTAATTCTTATGCCTCAAATGCTGACGTGAAGTTTCAAAAAGAGTCTAACCAATTTTAAAGATATTTATTTTTTTTACTAATTAAAAAACATCAGATGAAATGAAATGTAAAAACTGTGAACAAACCCTCCAAACATAAATGCAGTTTAAATCTTAGGGGAAATTTTATGATAAAAAATAGTTTCAGCGCTTAGTTCTAAATATCTTGAGTTTTATAGTCCCCAAATAACTACATTCACTAACATTTTCTTATAAAGCGAATCAGACTCGACAAAGTCCCCCAAGTTGGAGCAAAGAGAAAGACAAGCAACCTGGTATGCATTCTAAATGCTTAGCAATGTTCTCCTGGTATCACGGAGGTGCCCGTGTGGGATGGCAGAGCTTCCAGAAACGTGATGACAGAAATTCAGTCTTCACACACGGATTCGATGTTGGACTTCAGCAATGCCCGCCTGCCTCACATTATTTTCATATTTTAGGCAAATCATGTAGCAGTTTGCTGTAAGGATAGTTCAGAGAAACCCATTTTGTATCTACCCAATGTAGATCCATATCATTGAACATGTTTACTTCTACCCACTGGCCATCATCTAAGAGATATACTACAAAGCAGACAAGAAAACTCT